TTATGTGTCAGAATTTGTGTAACACCATTTTATAAGCATTACCTCATTCTCAGCTCTGCAAGGTAGTTGTCCTCACTGCATCCATGAAGAGACTGAGGCTCAGAAAGATCAGTCAAGTCACACAGACAGCCAAGATCACAGAGTTGTCGGAAGGTACAGCCAGCTCTGCCTATGTGTGTTCTCTGCTACCTCATTTTACGTTCTACTTATATGCCGAAATGTGGGCCTGTTATCAATTGTGTGCATGAATGATTGTATATGCCTAGAAAATGTCTGTAAGTATAGTTACCAATCTTGAACTGTGGCTACTTCTGTTATGACCCAAAGGGTCAGCCAGAGAAAGGAAGACCCTCAACTTGATAGATGGACACAGGGACAGCCCCTTGGGACTCGGACGTAGCGACAGTTGTGAGGATGACACAGGGCCGGGCGGGGTTTCATTCTGTTGTGCATAGTACCCTATGCGTTGGAACCAATTCCTGGCACCTAACAACCACAATAACATTTCTGTTCTTAGGAGCCCTGGTGTGATTCAGTGGATAAAACCCTCAACTGCTAGCAGAAAGACCAAAGCTTCCAACCCACCAGCCACTCTGAGGGGAAAATATGTAGCCAGTCTGCTTCCATAAAGATTGACAACCTTGAAACTCCTTAGGACAGCTCTGTCCTGTCCTATAGGTTACTGTGAGTCAGAATTATCTTCATAACTGTGGGTTTGGTTTGGGAGGTATTTTTGGTATAAACTTGTGGTACAAGAGTTTGCCCCCCTCTTTTTCGTATTGAAAAAGAAGTGAGAAGAAGCAAAGAGGGATTCTGACGAGGGGTAAAAGACAGATGGTAGAGGATAGAAGAGCTGGAAGGAGGGAGCGGGTGGCCTGGAATAGACAGGGAAAGTCCAAAGAGAATGTAAGATGCAGAAACGGTAGGGTTTGAATAATTGAACTTAAGACCAAGGGCACAAAGATGGGATGCGAAAAGCCTGAAAAGAGAATACTCAGAACAGCCGGACTGCGGCTGAGGGTGGTCCAGCAGCACACGGACTTCAGAAACTTGAAGTCTGATCACTATGGAGCCTGGCTGGGGAGTTTGGAATTCACTAAACAAGCAATGAGTTGTCATTGATGGTGACAAGGAAGTTGAGAATGGTTGTGGTGATGAATTACAATAAGCACATTTGCATGGGATTCTTACTACTCACTACCTGTGGATCCTTAATAAAGACTATTTCAAGAAAAATAGATTTGGGGGTGTTAGGCTTGTTTTGACTCAAAATACAATGCAAATGTTTTTTTTAATTATCTAGTTATATGAGAATAAGTCAAAAAGTATTGCTGTAAAAGCATAGCAACTTTTATTAAATAAAAACAGCAAAATGTAAAGCTATTGTTTCCCAATATATCTTCCACATAGGGCTATATACCAACTAGTGAAGGTGGTGTTTTCATCTCAATAACCCTTTCCCAAAGAATTCTGCATTCTTTTGATTTACCCCCTGTTAAAACTGCGGCTTTGGCATTCTCAAAAGGACTAAAATCGTGTTTATTTGAAATATTCTTTGAGTTTGGGGAACAAAAAAAAAATCTGAAGAGGCAAGTTCTGGGTTATAGGGTGGATGAGGTAAAGTTTCCCATTAACATTTCTCATAACAGATCTTGCTGCCTTCGAAAAATGAACAGGTATATTGTGATGTAAAAGAAATTTCTCTGCTCAATTTTCTTTGCATTTCTCCCACCAAGACAATTTTCAGTTTTATTAAAACTTCTTCCTAATAAGCCCCCATGATCATCCTGTGTCCTTCAAGGCAATCTATCCTGATAGCACCTCTGGAATTCCCCCCAAACATTTGGCATCATCTTCTGAGCTGACCCTTCTGCCTTGAAATTAACTGGGCCAGAAGACCTCCTTGGGAGCCACTGTTTTGATGGGACCTTCTCTTGGAGGCACCCTGACAAGACGAAGCTAAATGTCGTCCTCAGAGAACTGTTCTGCAGCCAATGATTACAGATGCTTAGTTAAACAGACTTTGGAATAAACTCAGGCATATAGGAACTGGTACCTCAGTAGTAATCCTTTTTGACTTACTTTAATATACCTGGCATATACAATGAGGTCATGACCCTGAATAGGAAGTCAATAATTGTGCTTTTGACAAGTATGACCAGGTTATAAAATCCCAGGGCATTTTTTAGAGACACTAGGTTCAAAGAGGAATGAATATGGCCTGGTCTAAAGTGGGAGAACTGGGTATCTGGGCCAGAAGATAAAAGCAAAACAAGGGCAAGTGAAGCCAAGGGGAACTCTGGTTATGTACAGGAAAGAGTGAGAGTGTTCTTGTTAAAACTAAGGAAAGACTTGGGACACCGCATACCAGAAGATGACTAGACAGATTCCATATGGGCTGAGCTCAGAGCACCAGCTACACTGTCTATGAATGGAAAACACCTGTCTCAAAGCTGGGGTGTGGGGGTGGGAGAACTGGGTACCAAATAGAAAAATGATCCTATGTTTTCAAAGGCTCAGAAGTTTGAAAAAAGGACATGAGTGGCTGTTTAATCTTCTGAGCTCATGCTTTAAGTCTATTTGATATTAGTAACATAAATTGTCTCATGGTAGCACAACTATCACCATTGTTTAAGCCATCATCATCTCTTCCCTAGATTTTTGCCACAGCCTCTTAGTTATCACCTTCCCCCAAAGTCTGTTATTTTCACAGCAGCCAGAATTATTATTTAGAATGTCACTCTGCTCAAAACATCCAGTAGATTTCCACATGTCGTAGAATACAATCTGAATCCCTTGGCACTGCAGACCTTTCATGAGCTGCCCCCAACTTCTGGCTTCATCTCTCATCACTACAGCTTCACTGTACCAACTGAAGCTCAGTGCAGCTGCTTCGTGAAGAACTAAGGCACGCTTCTCTGTGGGAAAGTAACAAATGTCAGTCCCACAGATTCTCCCCTAACAGTTATGCTGCCTTACAGTGAGCACATGGTTGATTCTGTCTCCCTGTAGAAGCAGACATTCTTTGATTATCTCCTCCTACCAAAAGCACCCAGCCCCCTCATCCCTTCCCCCAATGCAGGTATTGGGCTTCCTCACCGGTGAGCTCAGGGACTTTACTGTGATTCCCACCCACCTTGTGATGTATCTAACTCCTGAGTATGCATGACTAATGACTACCTATAAAAGCCCCAAAACAATAGAGCCGCTCTTTCCTCTGGCCCTCCTTCCCTTTCCCTCCCTCCCTCATTCCCTTTCCCTTCAGTTCATCTGCTCCTCTCTACGCCGCCAGCGCTCTGCTCAGACTCGGCTGCTGAGAGGCTGCTGAGATCTTGGCCATCCCGGAGATGAGCATGCTACCATGAAGTGTATCTGGCGCCTTTATTTTACTCTCTCTCTTATCTCTCTGAATTTTACTGTAATCTTTATCTATTATCTGCCATACAGTTGCTCCTATGAGCCCGTGATATTTGTCGGGGGCTGCGTACCCTGACACCTCTCTACCTCCAAGAGTTTGCACTTACTATTCCCTCGCCCTGCAGTGGTCTTTGCCCATAGATGTGTGACTTGCTCCTTACTGCATTCAAATCTTTGTTCAGATATCACCATATCTAAAAGGCCTTCAGTGACCACCCCTCTGTCAAGTTGTTATACTGCATGCTGCTGTACTACTAGAAGTAAGCAAATGCATCTCTATTTCAAAGACCGGCAGTTACCCACGGTGGACGGGTCCCAACTGAATTTCCAGATGGCGAGAGTTGAAGAAAGGCCTGGCCTTCTACTTCTGAAAATTAGCCAGTGAAAACCCTGTGTAACACAACAAAATATTGTCTAATATGCTGCTGGACAAGAGCCTCATGACCTTGCTTTCCATTTTTACCCACAGCATTTATCATCACTCGATAGATATTTAATTATTTTTGGTTCCCTCCAACTCCTTTTCCTTGGCTTACCTCTTCCCACTCCTACTTGGCATGGTGGCTAAGACCATAGATTCTGGTCAGACTTGCTGAGTGTGAATTCCCGCTGCTCTGCTCAAGTTCTGGAACTTAAACACTTCGCATCTCACTGTTCTCATTTGTGACATGGGATCATAATGGTCCCTTAATTGTGATCATTGTGAGGATGAAATGAGTTAATACACATTTCTAGAGTAATGCCCAGTACACTAAAGGTACTATAAATATCAGCTACTTTTAATGTTCTTGGCACTTAAATTCCATGTTTCTAGGCATTTTGCTTTGTTCCCAGTTCCTAAAACAGTGCTTGAAATAGGGTATGCTCTGGGTAAATATTTGTAAATGAATGAGTGACAGAAAAGATGATGTAGTGCTCACAGAGGTGGTGGGGTCCATGCCAAGAAATACTCCTGGGCAGCCCTCGCTGCCCTCTAAGCCAGCAGGTGAGTTGTCAAAATGAGAATTTAAAAAAAAATCTATCCACAAAGTCACCTGGCCTTTGTTTCACCAATGCTGTTTTCATTGTCAAAAACTTCTTCCAAATAAGCCCCAGTGATCATCCTTTGTTGTCTGAGAACAAAGTCTGTCCAGCTAACCTCCTTTGAACTCTCCAAAAACAGTCACCATAACATTCTGAGCTGACCGCTTGGCCTTGAATGAATCTTCGTGGTCTTCTTAACCTTCCTTAAAGTGTTTGGACATCTAGACTGTTACCTGGAGACAGCATTCCTGTAAGCGTGCTTCAAAGCTTCGATAATTTGGGAAATCCTTTTGTCTACAGATGGGTTTTGGGTCTCTGCTCCAACCCACCTGGTTCTCAACAGTATGTTTTTGTGGTGTTGGTTGGTTTGGGCTCTCTCACAGAAGGGTCACAAGAAGGGATGAGTCATCCAGGATGTAATATAACACCAATGAAACACAATATTCCTCTGGTTCTTTTAGGCTTCCTCACCCCGTACTATCATGACCCCAGTCCTGCCTTTCAGTTCTGACTAGACCGGAGCATGTACACTGGTACAGATGAGAGCTCACTACACATGGAATCCAGATAAATTACTCAGGAACAGAGGGTAAGGGGAAGGTAGGAGGTGGAGGGGGTGGGGATGAGGTGGAAGAAGGACAGAAAGGGGAGGGATGTGGCGGGGAAGTGGACAAGAAGGGGAGGAAGGTGAAAGGGGAAGGGGGAGGGGGAGGAGGAAGGGGAACCAATGGACCCATAGCCCCTACCCCTGAGGGGGATGAACAACAGAAACATGGGAGAAGGAGACGCGGTTGGTGTAAGATATGAAAATAATGATAATTTGTAATTTATCACGGGGTAATGAGGGTGGGAGGGGGAGCTGATATCAAGGGCTCAAATACAAAGTAAATGCTTAGAAAATGATGGCAACATATGTACAAATATGTTTGATATAATTGATGTATGGGTTGTTATAAGAGCTGTAAGAGCCCCCACTAAAATGATCTTTAAAAAAAAACAAAAAATAATTTGGAAAGATGTCCTCTCAAGTTTTGTGAAAATTTTGATGAGTTCTGACCTCAGAATAGATTTCTTCACTGACACACACACACACACCACACGTATCTTTTTGAAGGCCCTCTAACAAGACTAAGAAAAGGATATTACCAAGAGAACTTGTCTGTGGCCTCCCACTCGTCACAGAAATGCATGATACATATTTGGTCAGAAGGAAGTCATGCATGTGTAACCTGGACCCTACTAGCAATACTTTGGACACTACCTTCTACAATTGCCCACAATTCCCTTCAAGTAGAGCCTGTCAACTTTATCCCCATTTTAAAATACTGGAATATTTATTTCATTTAAACATCTTTCAGCCAAAACCACTCTTCCTGATGACTTTGATTCTTTTGCCTTTGTATTTAGATCTCTAGGAATATACATTACATTTTTTTTAATTGCAAGAAAAGTAGCCATGGTAGTAATTTATTTAGCACTTACCAAGCTGACAGCTTATATTCTTTATCCATGACCTCAGCTGATCTTTATTTTTACCCAGAAAGATAGGGAGGGACTGGCTGTGGGATTCCTGCTCAAACCTGGAAGCCTTCAGTTGGAGAGGGAGTACCTACAGATGATGTCTCAAGGCCAGGTCTGCCCATAGTCCACATAGAGGTCTCCTCCTCAACACGTGATCCGATCAGGACTCCCCTTATCCCGGAGTGCATTAACTCCACTCTCCTGTCTTTTCACTGCCTTCACTTCCCCTTCCTCCTCCAATTTGTTTCCCTTTGCTCCATCCTCAATTTTTAGAGCCACCTGTGACTGCTGGGACACACTGAAGACTTCCAGCATTGCAAACTTCCTGTAAGTCAATTCTCCTACCACTCAGACAGAAGTCCATTGTACATACGCTGTGTAATTTAGCTGGTTTATTGACAGTCTTTCAATAACAGTGTTTTCACTGTTGCAGCGGTTGTTTTATCTTTCTGTTTCCTTCTCATAAGGAGTCAGACACCCTGGATTGCTTGCAGACTTGTTAGTCTTTATTGTTCATCTCATAGTCAGTGTTCCAGTTTCATGATACAAAGTGGCAAGTTTGGGCATAAATACCTCTCTTGTCATTAGCTCTTCTGCCTTTTCTTGTTTTATTTTCTGAAGATTATTTCTTAGATTTCAGGAGTTCTCGAAGAAAATAACAAGGAGGCCTTAACAGAACCTAACTTTTTATTGAACTGCTAGGCCTAAAATGGCCACTAACTTGGCCCTTCAGGCTCCAGCCTTACAGGCAGGGCTTCTACAAGTGATGGTAAAGGAAGAAGACAACCAGACCTGTGGACAAGAATCTGGGCTGCCAAGAAATAACTCTTATACCAGAGAGATCTTTCGTCGACGCTTCAGGCAGTTCTGTTATCAGGAGACACCTGGGCCCCGGGAAGCTCTTCGGAGACTCCAGGAGCTCTGCCGGCAGTGGCTGAGACCAGAGATTCATACCAAGGAGCAGATCCTGAAGCTGCTGGTGCTGGAGCAGTTCCTGACCATCCTGCCCGGAGAGCTGCAGAGCTGGGTGCGGGAGCAGCAGCCAGAGAGCGGGGAGGAGGCGGTGACCGCGCTGGAGAATTTGGAGAGAGAGCTGGATGAGCCAGGAGACCAGGTAGGAAGATGGACCAAGCATGGGGTAATAAGTTGCACACGTGGAGGAGAGCTGGCTTGTTATGGTGTAGATTCTTAATCTCTCTGATTTCTGGTCCCGATTGCCTTTTGCAAGGCCCTGAGAAGTCCTTTCCACGTGCCCTCTAATGTATGGGTGCCAATCACCCTTTCTTTCCTCCAGGTCCTCGCTCGTGCTTGTGAACAGGTGCAATGCGGGAAGCAGAAGGCAACTCTGGGATCAGCCCAGGAGCCATCACAGACCCACATTTTGGAAGCGCAGCATCAGTGTGCCTTGCAGGAGGTGTCACCGATTCAGGAGATGGGTAAGGATTGGAATGTCATTAGGAATTGACTTGTGGCCTCCTATGATGGTCCCGAAGGTACCATGGGTAAGCACTTGGTTGCTAATGGAAAGACCAGTGATCAGACCCACCAGTATCCATATAGGAGAAAAGACGTGGGGCTCTGCTCCCATAGAGAATTCTACAGAGGAACCCCTTTGAGACAGTTCCACTCTGTCCTATGGGCCACTTTCAGTTGGAATGGATGCTACAGCACCCAATAACAGCGACATGCTAGGCAGGATACCCTGGGTGGTGTAAATGTCTAAGTCCTCAACTACTAATCTGAGAAACGGCCTACCCATCTGCTTCTGAGAGGTTAGGGCCTTGGAAACCCGTGGAAAAGCCCAGGCTTACTGGTTTGGTAGAGAGTAGCAGAACCTGAGGTGGGGGTGTTGGAGACTGTCAGAAGGCAGAATGGATGGACATAGGGAAGCCGGGAGAAGAGGAAGAGGTGCCTCAGGAGGGAGAGGTGTGTAGCCAATGCTACCAAGCAAGTGCCCATCAACTGTTGGATGAAAACTGACGTGCTCTGTAAACTTTCACCCAAACCACCATTGAAAAGACAGCACGAGCAGTCTCATCTTCAACACGTGTGTTGGAATGGACTCAAGGGCCCTGGTTTGGTTTCTCCTATGCTGCCAGTTACTGAGCTATAGGGGTGTGCTGGGCATAAGATGCACACACGGACATGACAATCACCGCGGTGCTCACGTCTAAGCAGAGAGGCGGGCAATGGCACAGGCAATTTCAGTAAAGCGTCTCCTATCTTTGTAACGGAGAGAAGTCCGTCTACAATTGTTTCAGAGTGATGGAATATAGACAGGAACAATAGTTGTTTGCCCCCTTTCACGCAGTCCTGAGGTATATATATATATATATATATATATATATATATATATATATTTTTTTTTTTTCCCTTTGTCTTTGGAAAGCTGACACCTTACCATTTACTGTTTCAGATGGCAAGGCTGGAACTTGGGATGTGGAGGTAGGGCCAAAGAAGGAAACTTCTAAAGAAATGAAATATCTTGTGGAAGTCCCTGGAACAGTGAATGCTGAAACCTCTCAGGGCCCTGAATCTGGGGACATCTGTGACAATGAAGGCAAATCGGAAAAGCAGCGGACAAGCTCCTTAGTGGAGAGACCCTTTGTGTGTGGCAACTGTGGGAAAAGTTTCACCCAGAACTCCATCCTTATCGAGCACCAAAGAACACATACAGGCGAGAAGCCCTATGAATGTGAGGAGTGTGGGCGGGCCTTCAGCCAGCGGTCTGGCCTATTTCAGCATCAGAGACTCCACACCGGAGAGAAGCGCTACCAGTGCAGTGTTTGTGGCAAAGCCTTCAGCCAGAATGCCGGGCTTTTCCATCACCTCAGAATCCACACCGGAGAAAAACCTTACCAGTGCAGCCAGTGCAGTAAAAGTTTTAGCCGGCGGTCTGTCCTCAGTAAGCATCAGAAAATTCACACCGGAGAGAGACCGTATGAATGTGGAGAGTGTGGCAAGAACTTCATTTACCATTGCAACCTCATCCAGCATCAGAAAGTCCACCCGACAGCCGAATCCAGCTAGCTCCTTGGGGCACATAGGGCCAGGTTTCCTGATGCCGGACCACTGGGCAAGGTCACAGGGCACTGCTTCTTGTTTTGTCCTGAAGAGAACAGTAGGACTTTAATCCTCTAGCGAGGATTAAACTCACTTAACTCTCATGCTGAAAGATACATAACAATGTCTTACATGCATCTGCTCAGTTGGCGGTGTTCGGTGACATCCAGAGCTTTGCCATCCAGACATTGCTTTTTCTGCACTTTTGATCTACTGTGCATACTGCAGATCTTGTTTCTCAGATGCCTGTGCAAGATGTTTTCCAGGAGCGCTTCAGGAAAACTCGTCTTTATCCTAGCTTTTAAAAATAGTCAATGTTTAAAAAGAAAGAAACGTGAAAAAACTCTTTGTAGTCTGAGTACAAAATAATGTCACAGAGGTTCATGGAATTTTGAAAATAATTGTAGTGCAATGCAAATTGCCTGACTCCTTTCTGTTCCCAGAAGATAGGATGATATGCCTTTTAATCTACAATAGAGGACAAGCCAATCCTGCCCTATGTTTTGCTCTGTGAATTTCAGTGATTCAAGCTTTAATCAAGGACCAAGACATTGAAACAGCCATGTGTTTTAGCAGTTTAGTGACTAGTCACAACAAACAATGTTCATGATTTTAAATTTGTGAAGAGATCAAAGAACGTTGGCTAAAAATCTGATATGTCTGTTCAGATCTTTGTTCTGAAAATATAACCAATTTTTTATGTTTCCTGTGACATTTTGACTTTGCCTTTTTTATTCTTTAACCTTTTGTTAAGGAAAATTTCAAACATATCCAAAGGTAGAGAGAAGAACATATGAGCAGTCTTCTATGCTGAATGCTTTCTATAACCTCTACACTGTCAGCATTCTCTAGTGATTACCTCCAACTTATGCACACAAATTGCTTCCACGTAACTCTGACTGTTTTTTGTTTTAACTTATAGTTGTTAATTTGGTGAAGGTTTATAGAGCAGATCATAGTTTTGAATTCAACAATCCGTTCACATTTTGTTTCAATGTACCATCACTTATCCTCCATGTGTTTCCTCTTTTTTTTTAGAACTCAGCAAAATAAAATTCCGGTTTATTGTTGGACAACATTGCTTCACACATACGTCAAACAGGCCAAAAAATAAATAAATAAACAGCAACTTCATAGACAAAAAAAAAAAAAAGGAAAAAAAAAGAAACCTTTATCGTTGGCCTTTTTAACCATCTCATACAAACCAACTACTTATAGTACAGCTAAGTACATACACAAAAACAATTACTGGAATGCTCGGAATAAGATTGTAGTTGTTGTTTTGACCATTTTACAGGGTTTTTTTTCTCCTTTGAGATTATAATGAACATGGTCACACCACAAGTAAAGTCAGAAGTAGGACAGAGAATGCTCCAAAGGCTGGTTTGGTCATCCGAGATCATTAAAAATGGCTGACCCCTAACAATATGTACAAAAATATAAAATGTAAATAAAAAATACAAACAAATTTTCCTTTTTAAAGTACTTTTAAGAAAAAAAGCAGGGCCTGGGAAGTTTTGGTTATTTTTGCCTCCCCTGTTGCAAATTCACGGTGTGGTTTCGGTGGGTGGTGGTGAGCGCGTGTCTGCAGTGGCGCAGCCCGAGGTGACCGCGTTTAGATTCTGAGACGGGAAGTGGAGGGTGAAGAGGTCACGGTGGCCTTTGTGTGTTTGTTTTGTTGTTTTACGTTGGACTTTTCCTTTTGCTGTCTAGTCATCCTCGTCGGTCTTCTGCTTCTTGGTGCCCACATCGTCATCCTCCTCATCTTCAGCTGCCCGTTTGCCTGTAGCTGCCTCAGCCTCCTCATCCTCATCTTCTTCTTCACCGTCACCTTCCTCTTCTTCATCCTCCTCTTTCCCACCTTCTTCCTCTTCTTCGTCTACCTCGTTGTCAGACTCCTGTTCCCCATTTTCCTCATTAGCGTTCCCGTTAGCAGGGGCCTCTCTCCCATTCTCCGCCTCCTCCACAACCTCCTTCTTCTCCTTTAAGTCCTTGGTGGTGATCTCGGAGCTGGTGTCCACGGCCGCGTCTGACATGGTGGGGCACGCTGGTGATCAGGTACAGCGGATGACAAAGAGAGCACGAGCTCGGGGACTCTGGCGAGAGAGCCGGAGGTGGCTGCGGCGAGTGGAACCCTGGAACAATGCAAAGATGGCTTTTCAGAGCAGCCAGTGGGGGCTGTGTTTCCTCTTTCTGTTCCTTTTTTTTTTTTTTTCTTCACTAAACCTTAGGGCTTTATTCGTGGGTAAAATGTTGCCCTTTAAAATCTTAAGTGATTGGTTATTCTACCCTAGGATGAGTTCAGTTTCAGACCTGAAGGGTGTGGGAAACTGAGGACCTGGAAGAGAATGTATGTGGCCAAATTCTTTATGCTCATAATCACCGGGTCTGGAAGGCCAACTCTTATGGGGTAAGGCCTTCAAAAGTGTGAATTATAGATGACTCTCAGTACATTCTCGCGACTAAAAATCATTTCCCACAATATTCAGTAACCCCCGCCCCCATCGTAGTGCTATGTTAAAGATGCCTCTTACAAGCATATGGCTGCTTACTATGTGGCTGGAGGCTACTTTATCTCTCAGAGTAAACAAGTTTTATTGTCCTCCCCCATTCAAAAGAGCAGTGGACCCTCTTCTGATGCCCCTCCAATACTAGTCCCAGTGAGCTCAGGGACACCCAAGGTTAAACCCAAGCTCAGGGACACCCAAGGATACCCAAGGTTAAAGCCCCACTCTGTTGGGGGCTTGCAAGCCCCAAGACGCAGACAATACATTTGCTCACTCCATCTTGACTTCTGGAAAGGTGAGGCCCTGTCCCTGCTGCCTATCATCTTTTCTCCTCTAATTGCACTCCTAGTCCACAGGACCCATTCCGCTGTGGGGCCAGACCCCATAAAGGAAGCTAAGTTGGACCATAATCTTGGTGGTCTCTCCTACCAGCAAGTGTGATCTCTTGTAATTTTGAGTTCTGTTCCACATTTTTCTCCCACATTTTCTATCCAGACCTTCTAATGTGATCTTTTTCAGAGCAGTTGGGAGTGGTAGTTGGGACCATCCACTTCTGGTCTTGGGATTGTAGAACACTGGTTATCTGTTTACAAAGCTTTCTTCCAGACCCAAGAGACAAAGAAATGGGAAGTCTATGGAAAGAACGATCTTGTTTGGAAGAACAAATATACAGTGGATAACTTACGAATAATAGAAAAGCAAAGAAGCCTCATTGATCACTTCTGTATCCCTCACTCGACAGATAAGGGAATAGAGGCTCTGGTGAGTAATGGTTCAGAATCTCACTCTGCTAGTTCACAGCAGAGCGACTTGAGAACTGCTACTCAAGCTGTGTCTTCTGATTCCCAGGACAGTGT